GATCGAAACCTTGGCACGATAAAGAAAATGTTTTTCTGAAACCTACATCACACCAGACCGCATCTCACGATTTCTAAATAAATATCGATTAACGGTCACTAATCACCACACAATAATAATTTTGAATAATCGCTAGTCAAAAGCTCAATTGCAACTGAAATATTCTGAAATATGCATTATTATAATTTTTATAAAACGGGTTTAGACTGATTTTTGTCTTAATTTTATTCAACTTGTGACAACATACATCTTAAACATCCAGACGACCTGTTTTTAACAGTATATTTAGTTGGAATATATTTAGTTATATAATTTCACTTTATTGTTTATACAATTGTTAGATTTTCCTTAGATTAGATTTTATAATCTATAAATTAAGTTTAAAAAGTTAAGTTGAATATAGAAAAATATACATTTGATAAAACGAGGTAAACTGTTTATTCGACATAGTTTTTAACACCAGATTTTAGAACATTTGCTAGTAATTATTAATTATAAATCCATATGTACATACTAAATATTTTGTTAATACATACAGATTTTGTTTTGTCGAAGGATGTCAGTCCAATGATAAGACTCCATCCTTTTTCCATCTCAACCTCACCTCTCGAATTTTCCCGCCTTTTTGCCATTTTTCAAATGTCGTGTGATCTATTTGATTCTCGGCGACAAATGAAATGGCCTCGGAGAGCTTTCGTGAAGATATACTTCGTTTAATTATTAAATCTATTACAGTTCGTGGTCCGATTGACAAATTAACATTTTTCAATTAATCAATATTAATGAAAGGTATTGGTTGAGATAAAAAAGTCAGTGTCACGACCAGGATTCGAACCCACGACCTTCGGCTAGATACGCCGCTACTCCACCACTTGAGCTATCGTGACTTCGATTATAATGTAAGTTTTATTAAAAATTAAATTATAGTGAAATGGCATTGCATTCAAATACTGAAAAAATAGTTAAGCTAAAAACATATATAGCATAAAATAATGTTTACTATGATCAATAATTATATAAGATAAGATGAAAATTAATAATTAAGTTGATTAACTAAATAATAACTGTAATGCCAAGCGGAGCGGGAATAAATTTCAAAATTCAACAATCTATAGTGTTTAGCATTTCTGTTAATTTTGTTTTTGTTAAAAAACGACGCCAAGGTATCGCATTCTGAATTTTGCTAACACAGGACATATAGTCAAAATTGAACCATATCCTCCTCTTGAACCTAAGTTCCAGGAGGATCAAATAGGATGTATTTAAACGATATTGTTTTCGACTTTTCAATCACTATTTTTCGTGGTCCGCTTGACCAATTAATATCATTCAATTAATTAAGATTTTTAGTTGAGATAAAAAAGTCAGTGTCACGAGCGGGGTTCAAACCCACGACCTTCTTATATACGAAGGTGACTCTACCACTTGAGCTATCGTGACTTTCAAGTGGTAGAGTAGCGGCGTATCAAGCCGAAGTTCGTGGGTTCGAATCCCAATCGTGACACTGACTTTTTTATCTCAACTAAAAACCTTAATTAATTGAATGATTATCAAATACAACAATCCAATTGCAAATAATAAAGATAATTTTATATTACGATGTCAAATTGCCTATTTATAATATCAGAAAAAAGTTCGCGCATAATTCAAATATACTCCCTTAAAAATTAGCATTGTTTTTAGTCGCAAATTGTTTAAGTTTATAAATGCAATAATAAAATAGTTTATTGCAGTAAAATTATGAATAGTGCACATCGCTAGTACGAGCCAAGAGCCAATCATAATTTAAGACGGTGCAATTTTGACTATTCATGAGAACCGTAAAATATATGAAATATTTAAGTTTTTATGGAATCATTGAATTATTATTTTGCGTAAACTCGATAAATTGAAATTCGTACACTTTCATACTTTACATATGAAATTTTCCTTCCTGATGTAGGAATCTTCGTAGCATAACCTTTCAAGATGATTCTAGTTATCCTAATCTCGCGGTTTGATATTGATTAACTTTTCCTCCTAAATGAAGAACAAACTGTCTATCCTAGTCTTTTGTCATGCTATATATTTTTCCTTAAATAAAATAAAACTTTGATGTTAATTTAAAAAAAAATATTCTTCCACATGTTACAGGTAGAATCAAGTTAACGACTATGTTGCAATTAGTAAGATATGAAAGAAAATAATTTAAAACAACTATCTTTATCTCTGTGTCCGCCTGTTGTCGTTGTTTGCCCTGGTTCAGACGCTTGTAGCTATATAAAGTTGTTGTTGCAAAAACAACCAGTTCAATTGTGTAACAATAGCTATTCACGTTGTTACACTACGTGTAATCATTTGTACAACTGAACAAGAAGTATCGGATATACAAGGGCAAAGCCTTGGCTGGCAGTTTGGAAATGGAATACTTCATTAATTAGCCAAACAATTTCAAAGTGGTGGTAGAGTAAAGATTTTAACAGGCGATTGATTATTGGATGTTTGTTATTATTAAATCAATTATATTTAGTGGTCTATTGACCAAATTACTTCTTTCAATTACTTAATCTTTTTACGTAAGATTTTGGTTGAAATGAAAAAGTCACGAGCGGGATTCGAACCCACGACCTTCGGCTTAGTTCGCCGCTGCTCTACCACTTGAGCTATCGTGACTCCGATCCACTCGGACACCAAAAACCAATTGAAAAATGGCAAAAAGAGGGAAAATTCGAAAGGTTGTAGGTTGAGATGGGAAGTTGGTGTCCGAGTGGATCGAAGTTCAAGTGGTAGAGGAGCGGCGTATTTAGCCGAAGGTCGTGGGTTCGAATCCCTCTCGGACACTAACTTTTTCATTTCTACCGAAACCTTACATAAAAAGATTAAGTTATTATTTTTACGAGGAAACCTACGAGTGTAAACTACCTGAGCATTCGTTGAATAGTTCGGTTTATTTTAAACTTTACCAGTTGTTTAATTTTCCAAATGTTTATTTAAATGGATAAATCAAAAACACCCATGTAGAAAAAAAGTCATTCGACTTGGATTCTTCCAGATTTTATACATTTTTCTTTAAAAAATCAATAAATAATATGTTATTCATCAGGAATAATAAAAGGTCGGGTCGAAAAAAAAAGAGGGTTTCGTAAATTTTTCAAATATCTGCACGCGCCCGAGGGGCCAATTTTCTTTTCCTTTGTCCCACAGGCACAGGAGCAGGGGGCAAATCTTCCAGAATTATACATCCTATTTGCCTAAGAAAGTCTTACGCCCGGGCCTCTCGTTTAAATAAATTTTCCCTCCCTTTTTGCAAAGAAAGTGGAGAACGTTAGTAAACGCAATCTCTTTAAACATGGCCTTCTAGATAGAGATGG